CATTTAATTACTTAAACACAGAGAGGTTAAGGTTAGAATTGATTGTACCTGTAGTGAATGTGCTCTCTGCATTAACCTGGGTTAAACCTGTGAGGAGCAGTGGGGCTCATCTCCAGATCTTGAGCTGGTCTTGGTCAGGACGACCTCAGCTGGAGGATTTGAGCTGTGGTGCAGGTTTTGTGTTGAAGGAGGGAAACCCACCCAACACACAGGGAGAACGTGCAAACTCCACACAGAAAGACCAAACTCTAAACCTTCTTGCAACTCAACCTCTGTACAGACAGCATTGAAATACACTGGGTAGTTGAGCTCCTCTGTGTTTTTAAGTCATTTTGAAGATTTTTGACCATTCAGAAGATTTGAAATTGTGCTACTATGTCCACGGTTAAAAAGACCTTCACCAAACTGATGCAGCTATTGTTTTAACCCTATTTAAATGTGTGTGTATGTATATTGTATTTGTTGAGTAAACAGTGGAAAATGAGTTAACAGTTTGAATTTGCATGTTAAATTACTTTGTGTATGACTTGTGTTGTACAAATAAACTTGTCTTTTCCAACAAGACTTTAAGATGTAAAATGTGAAATACAAACATGTCCAGAACAATCCTTTATACTTCCCCCTGTAGCAGAGCCACTGGCAGAATAAACACGTCTATTACACGCAGACACAATCACTTCAAAGATTATTTTAACACAATTTAAACATAGTTTCACAATGTAAAGGGGCAGACATGATTTTGTAACAGTGTTCAGACTGCAGCTAATCCTGGTTTAATCCACAGACACTGACTTTATCATCTGTCGTATTAACTAACCAAAAAATATGTGCTCAGGTGCAAAGTGGAGTCCTCCTCAAACACCTGTTTATGTTTGAAGTAGTTTTATTTACACAATTTTCAGTATTTGCTTTATTTAAAATCTCAAAACAGTCTATTCCAACTGCTGATGTCATGAGGTGGTATCCATGTACTCCAGGAAGTGTTGTACTATATTTTCAAACGCTTTTATATTTCGATCATTTCAGGGGGTAAAAATCATATATTATGCAAAATGGACTCTTGTGAGGTTTAAGTCATGTTAGAATATTGTTCCCTCCTCAAAAACAAACCTGGACTTGTGTTTTGTTTCATTAACGCATATTTGAGTAACTTTATTATTAGTTTGTCTACATCTCCAAAGCTCAAAATGCTCTGGTCCACCTTGTTTAGGGTGACCAGACGTAATTATTTACTCGGGACAGTCCCAGTTTTGAGCCCAGTGTCCTCTGTCCCAGCAGATTTATACAAAACTAGTGATTTGTCCCAGTTTTATGCAAGAAATGTCCCTGGTGTCTAATTTCCCATTTCTGTCCAAAGTTCTGGAAAAAACAGTCGCAGCACAACTACAGGATCACCTCAAACTCAATAACCTTTATGACAAGTTTCAGTCTGGGTTTCGCCCTGGCCATAGCACTGAAACAGCTTTGGTCAGGGTCACCAATGATCTCCTGAGAGCAGCAGACTCTGGTTCACCATCCCTACTTATCCTCCTGGATCTTACAGCTGCTTTTGATACGGTTGACCACAATATCCTCCTCCATCGCCTGCAATACACTATTGGACTTTCTGAACAAGCACTCAAATGGTTCACCTCCTACCTGACCAACCGTACCAAGCACGTTGCCCTGGGAAAGGCAAAGTCACGCACCCACAATGTCACCTGTGGTGTTCCTCAGGGTTCGGTGTTAGGTCCCACCCTCTTCACTCTTTACCTACTCCCCCTGGGTAATCTCATCACCAAGCATGGTATATCCTACCATTGCTACGCAGACGACACACAATTCTATTTACAGACCACCCCCACTTCTTCCACTCCCTGACTATCATCCACACTGACCACCTGCCTGGAGGAGATAGAGGCGTGGATGAAGCTAAATTTACTTCAACTCAATAGTTCCAAAACTGAAGCCATCTTGGTTGGTACAATTCATCAGCTCCATTCTTCCACCATCACCAGTATCTCATTCTCTGGTCAAACTATTCCCTTCTCGGCATCTGTCACCAAACTGGGTGTCAAAATGGACTCACAACTCACCTTTGACACCCACATCAAACACCTCTGTAAGACGTCATTCTACCACCTCAGGAACATCGTAAAACTCCGCCCAACTCTCTCCCTGGCAGATGCAGAGAAGCTCGTCCACGCCTTTATCTCCTCCAGGCTGGACTACTGTAACACACTCCTCATACCTGGCAGGAGCATCCAGAGACTGCAATACATCCAGAACAACGCTGCCAGGATCCTGATGAGGGTGTGAAAATTTGACCATATCATCCCCATCCTGAAATCCCTTCACTGGCTCCTGATCCCACTCAGGATTGAGTACAAGGTCTCCCTCCTCACTCACCAGTGCATCCACAGACACTCCGCCCAGTACCTAAAAAACTCCTCACTCCCCAGACCCCCTCACGCTCCCTCCGCTCTGAAGCCACCAACACTCTCCAACCCCCCAGAACCAAACCAAACTCTGCACCATGGGTGATCGGGCCTTTTCAGCTGCAGCTCCAAGGCTTTGGGATACTCTCCCCGACCTCTTGAGAGCCCCACAGTCTGTTTCTGTTTTTAAACAAAATCTTAAAATATATCTTTTTACTAAAACCTTTTGTTAATTGTATTTTATTTTTGTTTTATCTTATTGGTTCCTGTAATAGTTTTAGCTTGATGCACTGTTTGCTGATGCACTTTTATTCACTGTTTTTACCTGTAGCACTTTGAGATTATTTTATGTAAAGTGCAATATAAATAAAATGTATTATTATTATTGTTATTATTATTATTATTATTATCATCATTATTATTATTATTATTGGTGTCCCTATTTTTGACCAATCTGATCCCTGCCAACAGTAAAGAGAGACATAAATTCTCATTTGTTAAGGTAAAATACAGAAAAGCAAATGTGACTATACTGACTCATGTTAGTCAGGAATAGTCTTTCAGAACAGTTTTCTTTAATTACGCTCTCGTTTCACAATTTTATTATTACCAACCACCATAAAAAAAGGGATGTGCCTGTTTTTTATTTTGAACTTCTGCTCACCCTAAACTTCCTGTTGTCATGAAGCAATAGTTTTCAAGTTACAGCTCCTTTTACTTTTTGTTGAATAGACATTGACAATCCAGGGTTGAAATGATCCAGATGATTCTAGTGAAGGTGGGTGGAGTTTAAAAAGCACTTCCTGTATCACCACATGACATCACAACGTGGAATAGAGTGTTTTCAGTTTGAGAGAAGAACTCAGGATTATTGTGCAGAGTTTGTGTGTTAAACATGTGAATGAAATAATACACAAGTCCAGGCCTGTGTGTAATGAGGAAACTTTTTTTTAAATTTTATTTCAAATATTCAATGTAATATACAATGGTATAAACAAAAACACTGCTGGAGGTTTAAGAGTTCATTTACTCACAGGGCTCAACATTTTCATTAATAACACATATATGCATCACAGTGTAAATACTTGATATACATGTACAAATGTAGGAAAGCAAATAAATACTTTCATCCGTACAAAGTGCTTTTGTCTTCAAGGCTTTGGGATTTGTGCAATAATTTAGAGAATTGATATAAGAGGACAAGAGGGACTGAAACACAACAAATTTGAGTTTCTGATTAGAAAATTTACAGTAATGAATATAAAACTTTGAGAGGATTAAGATTAAGTTCAACACATCTATTTTTTTTGGCAGGAATATCTTTCTCAGAGACACCAAAGAGAACATATTTATATTAAATTGTAGGTTTGGATCAAATTTTGTATTCACTAATAAAAATATGTCATTCCAAAAGATTTGAGTGTATGAGCATTCCCAAAACATCTGGGTGACCGTTTCTTCAACGCTGTGACAGAATGAGCAAAGATGATCTACAGTATGTTTAAGCAAAATTTTGAGATGACAGCGTTACCAGGGGAACATCTCTGCAGGATTTTCAGGCAGACCTCATGAGTCTTGTTACTTACAAAATATTTTCAAGGCAAAAGCCAAACATCATTCCAGTTAATGTCTGTAAATGTATTATTCCAGACAAAAACAGAAGTGGTTTACTGATAGATTCTCTCATGATAAGTTCTCTTATACATTTGTTATTTGTTTTAGAGCTAAAAAATAGGAGAGTTACCAACAGTAACAGATTACATGTACCAGAGTTACATAATCAGAGTACAAATTATGAGTAACTGTATTCAGTTACAGTTACTGTTTCAGTGAGTGGTAATTGGATTACAGTTACTTTGTTGAAATAAATGGATTACACAGCGGTATTTTCCTGTTTTCACATTTTGGGCTATATCCCCCATCCCACCCCGTTTTTTTTTTCTCTGTAATTCCACTCATTACCGGACACTAAATCAGATCTAAAATCAGGACTAAACCAGGTTTAAACCAGGACTAAAACCAGGTCTAAACTAGATCTAAACTAGGTCTAAAACCAGGACTAAACCAGGTCTAAAACAGGATTTAACAGGACTAAATCCTGCTGCGTGGACATGTTTCCTCGTCTTCTATCAGTAATATTTTTAACATGGTTCAGTAAAGTCTGGGCTTTTTATTTTCTTTTATCAGACAAAACTTCTTATGTGAAGATTTCCTCGTATTTACTTCTCTCCAACAAATTAAGTAATCTAAAGTATTCAGATTAAGTTACTCACCTTAAGAAATGTAATGGATTATATTACAAACTACATTTTGGTGTATGTAATCTGTAATCTGTAGGGGAATACATTTTAAAAGTAACCTTCCCAACACTGGAAATACATAAGTGGAGTAATGAGGAAACAGAGATCAGAAAATGACGTAACACAGTCCGTTTAAAATACTAATCTAATCTACATTTTTAAAAATCATTGTATTCATGTCATTCCCCCGTAAGTGCTGTTATTCATCATTCATGGCCTCTGTGCCGGTTATGGCGTTTCTCACGTGCGCTTTACATCAGATTCCTTCACTGAAAGGGAGCCGGTGTGCGCATGCGTGGAGCCGAGCGTGTCATCGTTACATCGTCCCATCCCTCCCGCAGCTTTAGTGCGGTGGTCCGGTACCCTGCGCTCCAGTCTCTGCTGCACACTGCCATTGTCAGCGCCAAACGCGGTCCAAGCCAACGAACCCGAACCCAGGACCGAAGCTTTTTACGCACACGAACCCCGGACATACGGTACGTTTCTGCCTCACCACACAAAGAGGAACACGGCATTTCCACGCAACGGAGATGGTTTTTTGGGGGGGTGGATTCAATGAGGGCACATGAGGCGTGGGGTGACGGGTAATTAGCCTGGTATCTTCCAAGTCCTGCTGCGCCGTGTTACCAGTTTGTACCGCGTATTTATCCCGCTATCTTGCCTTTTTCACGTGGCTATACTACCAGGACTAAACCAGAATTTGAGCCAGGTCTAAACCAGATCTGACCCGGGTCAAAACCAGCACTCTCGCGTTGTCTGTCTCGCTTTTTTTTTTTTCTCCATATTTAGTTCCAAGGGCGCGTGGCGAAACGTGTTTGAATGAACTGGAGTCTAACAGAACTAAGCCGGGTCTAAACCAGGTCTGATCCAGGTCTGAACCAGGACTCTATTGTTTTCTATCCTGCTGTTTTTCTCCCCGTTTTCCCCCCACAAATTTGCCAATATCATCAATAGTGTGAACAAGGAAGAACGCATGGCCAAACCGCGGTTTGAATGAAGTCTTGACCAGAACCAAACTCGAACTAAACCTGGTCTAACTCTGGACTAAACCAGGACTTTCCCATTGTCAATTTTGTACTGTACCCCGTTTTTTTGTTCTGTGCCGTTCCCATCTGTTTGTGGTTCACGCTGCTGACGTAGGTCACTTCAACAGACGTAACGCGCTACGCTCCTGTTGAGTCATTTTTCGCACACGTGAAAAGGTGAAGGTGACTGGTTTTGTGTTGTTTTCAACGCGGAGTGCCTCTAAAATGATCGTAATTCACTGCGCTCAGAAATGGTCATGACACGTCTCCCACTGCTTTCCTGGAACTGGATTTGACTACTCCGAACGTAATTTAACTACCATTTAGCCGACACGTAGTACCGTAAATGGTTAGAAAATCAGGTGTACACTATTGTGTAAAGATGCCTGACGCTGTGGCATGTTGGAAAGCGTCGCTGTATTGTCTAATTCTATTAATACACGTGGCGCTATGGAAGAAATGTCTGTCTAATCATAGATAGTCGCTGGAAGGTCAAACGCCGCTCCTGTCCTTCACTCTGCAGAAAAGGCAACGTGACCTGAGCGACATTGAGATGAATGAGGAGCGTACTGTTGCCGTACCAAACCCACTCGTCCAGGCTACGTTTACTACGTGCTCAAAGTACGTGCGCAATCGTGCCAGCCTCAAGAGGATGTTGGTGATTCATTCTGGGCAGAGAAGCAGTGTATTCATTCATCTATGTAAATGTGAGTCAGGTGGTTAAATTAGGATTCAATTAGAACTAAACCAGGTCAGAAACCGGTCTTAATGATGACACGTTTAAAGTACAGAACTCTTAACTAACCAGGACTAGTTCAACTGGCTCTTCGTAAACATAATGGAACTAAACTAGGATTTAACTCAAGGTTTAGACCAACGTGGACTAGATTTCATAGCTTTGATGGTACAACGTTCTGAAGTTGTTGTGTAAACATAATTTCACTTTTGCTCATTTACAGTGACAGAAGATGCTGAACTTTGCCAGTTTTTGTTTTCTGTAGATGGACGCAGTAATTACAGAGAAATGAACTGTAAACCAGGCCAGAAACAGGTCTTAATGATGACATGTTTAAAGTACAGAACTCTTAACTAACCAGGACTAGTTCAACTGGCTCTTCTTAACCATAATGGAAATAAACTAGGATTTAACTCAAGGTTTAGACTAGGGGTGTCAAACTCATTTTGGTCCGGGGGCCGTATCCAACCTACTCTGATCCCAAAGGGGCCGGATCAGAAAACTCATGACATATAAACCCCAAAAATAACAATAAGTTCAAATATTTGTGCAGAGAAACACAAATCTATTACAGAAATCTTTTTTAATTGATGAACTCTTTCTTTTACAAAATATTATAATATTATGAACAACCTGAAACTTCACAGTCACAGTCAAAGCGATCGTCCTTTTCTAAACGCTCTTAAGAGACAAGTCTTCATTTGTGCTGCTCTGGTGGGAGGGGCCACGTACAGAGGCTCTGGAGATGCTGCTCTGCTCAGCACCGCAGAAAATTAACTATATTTTAATAGAAAATATCATTCAAATATTTTAGTAGAAAATCAGCCGAGGGTCAGATTGAAGGTCTTGGAGGACCGGATCTGACCCCCGGGCCGTATGTTTGACTCCTGTGGTTTAGACCAACATGGACTAGTTTTCATAGCTTTAAAGTAGTTTCAAGCACTTTCATTTGATAAGTCACATCTTCAAGATTGAGTGATGGCACCACTTTCTGAAGCTGTTGTGTAAACGTAATTTCACTTTTGCTTATTTCCACCGACAGAAGATGTTGAACTTTGTTTTTGTTTCCCGTAGATGGACGCAGTAATTACAGAGAAATGAACTGTAAAGCAGGTGTGAAACAGGTCTTAATGATGACACGTTTAAAGTACAGAACTCTTAACTAACCAGGACTAGTTCAACTGAGTCTTCTTAACTATAATGGAACTAAATTAGGATTTAACTCAAGGTTTTGACCAACATGGACTAGATTTCATAGCTTTAAAGTCGTTTTAAGTGCTTTCATTTGATAAGTCACGTCTTCAAGATTGAGTGTTGGCACCACTTTCTGAAGCTGTTGTGTAAACGTAATTTCACTTTTGCTTATTTACACTGACAGAATATGTTGAACTTTGTGCCAGTTTTTGCTTTCTGTAGATGGGTGCAGTAATGACAGAGAAATTAACTGTAAACTAGGTCAACAAATCTGCAATCTCACAGTTAAACAAGCACATTCCACCTGAGAGTTCTGACCTGTCCTCCGGCTCAGATGTAACGATTTGTTGTCACGTAAACCCGACCTCTCAGACGCTCCGTCCCGCCCAGCGTGCCCCCCGGAGAGAGGTCTGCGTCGCTTCATTAACATCTGTATTTAACATTCAAATGAAAGTGTAGTGCCCTCTCTGCTCTGCACATGCTCAGTCCTGCCTCTCCAAACCGACCCAGCCAGTTTAAGATTCAGTTCACACGGTCGGGTCACTGAGGACGCACAACCATTCAGGTCCTTCTCAATGAAACCTTCTCAGTGAAACTTGAAGGTACATTATGTAACTTGGGATGTTCCACAGTATGGCATTAACCTTGTACTATAATTACAGGTATTTTGTGTAACTAAAACTACATGAAAGAACCTGTATTTTGCAGTAAGCAATGGCGCCTCTCTTAAGGATCCGACCAGTAATTTTTTGGCCTTGTGGGGTGGATACGTTTAATGCCATACTGTGGAACATCTCAAGCAAAGCGGTGACATCTCCACGAAGACAAGAAGGTGGCAGAGCCTATTTGAGAAAAGTTGCACAGTGCAGTTGAAGTTTGGTGGTATTATTCTTGTGGTAGACTTTTTGAGAAGAGCAAAGAGTTTCTGGTGTGTTTGGAATGGGGCAGTGGGCTGGTCACATGTCTCTAGTTCATCTGCAGATGGTGTGGTGTGGTTAGAAGAACATAGCGGGAAAAACTTTTATGGACTTTTCTTGAAATTCAAATTTGTAGTGTAACAATCAAGAGTCTTTTCGGTGTGTGATTTAAAAAGGAGCATTAATGTTTGAGCGAAGACTGAAAGATGAACTGCTAAAATAATCCAAGAATCCCAAGTATTACAGAACATTTATTATTTCACTAAATTAATAGCCTACACCATAAGGAAACATACTATAAAGTTTAATACCATACTGTGGAACATTCCAAACAAGGCAATGTTATGTACAGGTGGTGACAAACCCTCCATCAGAAACACCAGGCAGAGTTGAGAGGAGCATTGAAGAGAAGACTGAAATATGACCTGATAAGAACTAGAATCCATGTTTGTAGAAATCTACACTACAGGGAGGTCAGTTCAGTAGGAAGCTGGGGAGTGTAGTTTTTCATAGAACACCATTTTAAAATAATTCCATCTTTGCGATTAGAAAATGAAACCAAGTGAAACAGTGGTTTCATTTTGATTTGGAGATCTGGTGCTGCCCTATCACTTATCTCAGACTCACATGTTTTAAACAAGCTATGCCACCCTTTCACCCATTAAACTGTCTCCCATCACGGACACGCTTACAGGCTCGGTGCCCCTTCTCCTCTGCCCTGACATATTTCCTGTTACATAAGTGTGTGCAGAGCCCTGCTGAGGCCACAGGGGGAACGCTCAGCTGCCAACAGGAAGCAGCATGCATGGTTTAGCTAGTGCAAGTGTGAAAAGTCGTATACCACATTATAACAGGAGACAGAGCAGGTAAAACAGAGATATGAATGAGCTGATGTCATTCACACAGACAGAGCAGGAGACTCTATTCACTGTAGGGTAATTTAAGGTAATCTGCAAACCACTAAATGCCCCTGTGTCTCCATGGAGACTTATCCTGTGTAAAAGCTGCTAACCCTGGAGTTGAGACTTCTACAAACATGTTCTTAAACACACAAGGTTCTTGGATTAGTTTTGCAATTCAGATTTCTCTCAAATGATATGTTTAAAAATACACTGTAAGCAGTGTTTTGGAGCTTTTTTCCATGTTTTATCATTGTTCCCTCATCAAAACCAGGCCTGAAGAGGTGTTAGATCTTATCCATACATGTTTCAGTATTTCAGTGATCTCTCCCAGGCTCTATTTAAACCCTCCTTATCAATAAAAGTCTGTCCAACGCTCTGTCCACAAGCCCACATCATCCATGCTCCCACAACACAATCCTCCATAAATATACACAAACATGACACAAAACTGTACACAACACCGCGACAAACCTGATGCAGTGTTCACTGCAGTACTTTCATTAGTGGAATACTCACTCACTGACATGTGTTCGCTCTGAAGGGGGAGTGATTAAGTGTGGAGAGCCCTTTGCTCTCAGAGCATCAAAAACGAAAGTGAAACTTATTAAATATTTGAATGTTGTTTTCTGTGAATATAACATTTTCAAATGCTAAACATGGCTGTCTAAATGTTTGGTGTTATCAGTTCATATGACACAGTTA